AATTAGAGACGGCCCAGGCCGGGGAAGAAGCAACAACAGGTAGCAGTTCTGCTGGTCGACGACAACAGAACAGTGCTCAAGCGACCCTTGCGTCCAATTGAAACTGGCGGGATAAGCAACAATACCTAGGCCGGTGGCATCGGCTAGGCGGGACCCGAGTGTGCGCAAAGCTCCGAGCCTTCCATGCAACCCTACGCAACTAGGTAAAGAAGGCATGCGCAATATCTCCTCCTTCTCCAGTGGCTTGTTGCGACTTTCTGTCAGTGAATTGGAATGCGACATTCTCCATCGGTCGAGCCACCCCCGCAATCGGTCTTTCCTCAGCTGTTTCTTCTGCAGTAAGAAGGGGGTGACACGCTGTTTTTGCTCCTTCCCATGCCATCCCCCAGTCCCTTACCATCTTCTTCCTAAACTATATATCCGTACACGCGACTGCATAAGAATGGGACCCGACCGGGGGTGGGGCAGTACACGACGTCACGCACCCCCCACCTTCCGTCACCCACTGCACTGTGGAAGGCGAGACGACATCTTTGTCCATCCCGGTCACCGGCATACCACTTCCTAGGTAGGAAGCAAATCGCGACAGCAAAACACCTCAAAGGAGTAATTCTTCGAGGACCGTCGTGGCCAACATCGCCACTCTTCGGCCGTCCGGCCTTTGTGCACATACAACAGGAAGACGAAAGCTTGGCGTACTGGGCAGACTCTTGGAACATTATCGCACAGACACTCTCTCGTCAAGCTCATTCTCTTTTTCTCAAGTGCCGAGTGTCAGACCGGCTTCACCTACTCTCGTCTTTGATGATCCCGCCAGAACTTTTCCCACGGTCTTGGCAATTCCGGGCTTCGAGCGAAACATCGCCGGTCCTCCCCCCTTCCCCCGTGTCTGTCTTACCTAATCTCTGGCCATACCATTCACCATGATTAATTATGTGCCGCACATGCATCAACTCTATTTCTCATTGGATGATGGATCTTACCGGTTTCGTGATTTCGACTCGGGCTGCTTCTCGAAGGCCTCCGCATACCGCAGTCAACCTACCCGCTTGCATTCAAGGGTCCCCTCCGATGCTCTAAGTCTTCAACGGCATCGACAGTTCGCCACCCGCTACCATTGAGAACGACATCGACGACCTCAATGATCTATTGTTCTTCTCACTGCCAGCGGCTGAACCAGGCAGGGTCTGATAACCGTCGCAGTGGTAAAACTATGTCAAGACAAACGTCTGTCAGGGCAACGGAGAAGATACCGATCCACTGCCAGGATCAGATCCGACCACATGTAGTAGCGATGTCCGACATCGCTATCGCCGATAATGGGCTTACCTCCGATACGGCCCACCACTGTCCCACTGCACCGCCCGGGCAGTAGGTAATTAACCCACTTTCAACAAAGCAAGCCGCGATGGCTTCTTTTCTTCACGTATAACAGAGACTACTCACTTAGTTCCTATTATTCGTCACCCATACGACCTAGATCACCACCCCCGTGATACTACAGTACTAGGTCAAAAGTCTGGCAACAGCAATAAGGATGGCCCAATCAACAGCGACAGTAGGGTGGTGAGACACGCGTCCTTCGGCGGTGGACTGTGAAGTGACCTCAAGCTAATGGGTCCCTTCTGTGACTCTTAATTGGGTTGTTCTTCTTGCTGTTGCCAGACCTTTGACCTAGTACTGCAACAAATAATGGGGGAAGGATGTCAAGGCTTAGCTTGGAAGGTGTCGGCCCCTCCCCGTAAACGATAGACGAACTATTCCGTTCTGGGATTATTCATTCTTAAGTACTTTTATACAATTACTTGCTTACATCTGCAAAGCTGTAGAAGGATGTGAGCCAGACTTTCACATACGTAAGCTGGTAGCTGGGCCTCTTCTCTCAGTGTCTGAATGAGGGAACACTGCCTCACAGATTCGGTGTGCTATATCACCATGTGAGCCTGCTGGTAACACCAGAAACTTTGCTTTAATTAAGCTGTCGGGGAAAACGCCTTGCCACCTTGGTAATGGGTTTTAACGCCTTTAGCGCCGAGGGCATCAATCACAGAACCTCGGGCGAATAGTGGACTGGAGTTTGAGTGCGAGGGAAACCTGTTAAAGGAGACTTCTGCTCTATATGGCGCATATGAGGCAGTGTATGCCCTTGACATCTTGAAGCTTTCAACTGTCCTGACATGATACGGTGCTCAAGGGGGAACAGACGCTTTAACTTGGGGCGATGCCCTGGGCGGTTTCAGACAGCGCTCGAGCAAGGCCATTTACGGTACGATCCGAGCTGACCTTGACCAGAACCTTGACTACCATCCAATCCTACATACCATCGCCTGCTATATCTGGGCTCTACGGGAGGCCAGGAATGGAAAAGCTTTCTCAGGACATGGTGCTCTACCTTTGATAGGGTTTGCAGGGATTCGTTTAGCGTGTTTGCATATCAGATATCCGTTATATAGAACCGCCTTACAGAGCCGCATGGAAGTAGAATTCGGCGTGATCAATCGTCTTTTATCAGTGGTGTTGTGTATAATCAGTCAGTCTCCCGGCGGTGCTGTTGGTTGTAGGGTCATGACTGCATGACTATCATACCCAGCCAACATCCCACGTATTCCTCCTAAGTACCACGCACTCGTGGACCGACGGAACCCAAGAATACCAATGAAGATGGCCACTTACAACCGGCCGCCGCTTCGACCGCTACATAGCCTACGCCGCACCCTGTCCTCGGCAGCGTCGGGCAGTCTCCAGCTCCTGACGAGCGACGTAGAACTATCCCAGGGCGGCCACGAAAACGAGTACATTTCTCCCACGCGAGCCTCCTCCAAGAGCCAAACAGTTTCCCGCTTTGGTAGTCCCAGTACAGGAAGCGCCGCTTCATCAGGGGGGTTCCTAGCTAGGACACTGTCTTTGCCTCCAATATCACAGGGCGGAGATAGCCATGGCGCCGAATTCTGCAACCCCTCTATCGATCCATGCTTGCCGACGCAGATTCCCGATGAAAATCGAAACCCGTTCGATGAATCGTACCGTCGGGAATTGGAGGCTCGGTTGGAGATAGAACCGCCCTATCATGTCTTTTCAAGGAAACAGAAGTGGTTTATCATTCTCATCATTGGTGCTGCTGGGCTGTTCTCGGGTCTTTCCTCCAACATCTACTTTCCAGCGCTGGACACCATCTCCCAGGTAGGTCCACCCGACCTTTCGAGTCTCTGGTCCAATGCCGAACAAACTCTTTTAGGACCTGAATATAAGCCACGAGATGGTAGCTCTGACCATCACTTCATATCTTGTAATCCAAGGTATCTCGCCCTTGATCTGGGGATCGATATCAGATACTCTAGGAAGAAGGCCCATATACATGGCATCATTCGCAGTATACATATTATCCAACATTGGACTCAGCATTTCGCCAAATTTTGCGGTTCTGCTGCTTTTTAGAGGCTTGCAAGCAGCTGGGAGCGCCTCGACTGTTAGCATTGGTGAGTTGACTACCGTAGCTCCATCTTGAACTGGTTATAACCGCATCCAACAGGTAATGGGGTGATCCAGGACATCTCCCCCCCAGCAGATAGGGGAGCGTTCGTCAGCTTATATCAGGCGAGTAAGTTGTATCATACCCGGCTTCACGTCATTCGGTGTCAGGCTGGCTAACGCGAACCGTTCTTCGCAGTAAGAAACTTAGGCATTGCTATCGGACCTGTGCTCGGCGGATTGCTTGCAGACTGCTTCGGTTTCCGGTCCATCTTTATCTTCCTCCTGATAATCTCCTCAATTGTCACGCTGATAATTGTTGTTTTTCTTCCCGAGACCATGCGTACCATTGCCGGAAACGGATCGCTGCGACTAGGAGGCGTCTATAAGCCGCTGATTTTATATCTAAAGAAAGAGCCTAGTTACTTGGAGGACCCCGAAGAACCCATTCAGCGGGAAAGAATTACACTGATGACCTTTTTCGAGCCGCTGCGGCTGCTGATTCAAAGAGACATCTTAATCAACCTTGTCTTCGGTGGCGTGGTGTACACTGTATGGAGCATGGTCACGTCAAGCACCACTGTTCTTTTTAAGCAGCGTTTCAACCTCAGCGATCTCGAGATTGGTCTTGCTTTTCTACCTAACGGTATGTCGAATGTGAATCGGCGGTCATAGTGCCATTGCTGACAGATTCTTTCAAGGACTCGGAACGATAATTGGCTCAGCTATCGCTGGCAAGGTTATGACGCGAGACTATTGTTCGGTAAAGGAGGCATACAAAGCATCTTACAAATGCGACACTTCCGAGAAATTTGCTCGGGGCAACCTACCTGTCGACTTCCCAATAGAAAGGGCCCGCCTACGGCGGCTGCCATGGATTTCTCTTGTCTTTGTCGCCGCCACTGCGGGCTATGGCATGTCTCTCAACTTTTCCTCTTTGACTTCCCGGCGCGGCTGGATTGCCCTACCTCTCGTACTACAATTCTTGATCGCCGCAACGAGCAACGCCGTTTTTGCCCTGAACCAGACCCTCGTCACCGATATTTGTCCAGGAAAGGGTGCCAGCGCCACTGCCATCAACAACCTTGTCAGATGTGGCCTCGCTGCTGTCGGCGTTGCACTTGTAGAGAAGTTGATCGAGTCGAATGGACCTGGTGCTACTTTTTTGGGGCTGGCACTCGTTACAGTTGCAGTCAGCCCTCTGGCGGTGGCACATTGGTATTGGGGCCAAGGGTGGAGGGCAAAGAGAATGGGAGCTGGTGAGAGAGCTAGAGAAGACAAGGCAATGTGTGGTTAGGCGTATCTTGAATCAAAGAAAAGCGAGGGAAACTGATACGATTCGTTGGCAATAGAGGACTTCCAGATTTATTTGCACGAATAGACAAAACGGCATTTCGTACTCAAGTCAAGTTGGTACTAATCAGCTATCAAAAGTTGAACTTGTCCGACCCAGCCCTTGTCTTCTACATGAAGAGCTGCATGGCTGCATCATATGGGTCTCATGGAATTCGTGTAATACTATTGGTTGAATTCCACTTTCCATTGAAAGCGCAAGCAACACTGAATTGTGTCGTAGGTTGACGCACTGAATAGCGGTCTGGCATCGACGTCTTTGACCTCGGCGACTGATGGCAGATTATGGTTTGTTAAGTCGAATTGGCTTAGAACCAGTATTTCCCGAGGACTTGTGACTACCTGAGAGCAGTAACGTCTCTACCTAAGCGGGAATGATGGGGCTTCGGCTTTGGGTCTTTCCCGACCAGTCATCTTCTCCGAGCGTTATGTAGCAGAAGACTTCGACATCCCGATACCGCATACCCGAGCGGGGTCCATCTTATCTGGCGTTTCAACGGCACAAGTCACAGCTTTCCCGCGGGAAAGGCATATGAATAAAGCCAATCGTCCCGCTCACGGTTTTTTGTATCTCCCTGAACCATCACTAAGTTACTAAGAAACCAATTGCAAGTCTAAGAACCAACAAAGGGAGATGGCAGCCAAACCTCGCCCTCCCGCTGGAACTGAACTATCAGCGTCTAAAATTGGGCAGCAACTCAGTGATTACATCAAGAAGTATGTCGCAGAAAATGAAAAATCGCGTCAAGTCAACAAGAGCGCCTCGGGGTCGTTACCGGGCGGGACGACCAGGTCTGTTCTTCATTACCAGCCTTTCCCACTGGCTTTCTCGGGAGGCCATGACTGCCACCTGACGTCGATGGACGGCCACGAGTACCTGGATTTCGTATCCGAATACTGCGCCGGAATGTTTGGTCATTCGCATCCGGAAATCATCGCTGCTGTCGAGAGCGTAACGAAGACCGGATTCACTCTGGGTGGACCGACGCCCAAGGAGGGCGAACTGGGTGCATTGCTCGTGGAAAGGTTCCCCAGCATCGATGCCATCAGGTTTTGTAACTCGGGGACGGAGGCCAATACAATGGCGATCGCTACAGCTTTGCATTTCAACGGGCGAAGAAAGGTAAGTGACACAAGAAAAGAGATATCTTGCGTCTCAGATTCCAACGAGATTCCTTACTTACACATGAATGTTAACCAGATCCTGGTTTGTGAAAATGGTTACCACGGCGGAACCCTCTCCTTCTCACATGAGAATCCCCTCATTTTGCCCCATGAATTCATCTACGGTCGGTACAATGATATTGAGTTTACCCGGCCTAAAGTCACCGACGATATCGGCGTTATCATTGTGGAGCCAATGCAAGGTGCCGCCGGGATGTTCGAAGGGTCGAGAGAGTTCCTGAACTTCCTAAGAGACGAAGCGACTCGGGTCGGCGCCATCCTCATTTTCGACGAGGTCATCACGTCGAGGCTCAAATATGGCGGGTTGCAAGAGCATCACGGCATTACGCCTGACATGACGACCATTGGGAAACATTTCGGCGGAGGCTTCTCGTTCGGCGCTTTCGGCGGCCGCAGCGAGATCATGGACCTGTACGACCCGGAGTCGCCGCGAAGTCTCTTCCACTCCGGTACGTGGAACAATAACGTATTTTCAATGACGGCGGGTATCGCTGCGACGAAGCTGCTATCGAGAGAGGCTCTCGAAAGAAACAACGAGCTGGGCAACAAACTCCGCAGCAACATGGCGGCAGCCTTTGCATCAAAGGATGCATTCATCGTCACACTCACCGGGTTTGGAAGCGTCATTGGTGTGCATTTCAACGGACCGTTGGCAAATGAACTCCTGGACCTCTTTTTCTTTTACCTCCTCGCGAAGAGGATTTATGTCGGCCGCCGGGGTTTTTTGGCCTTAAATCTCACACATGGGGAGGAGCACATCAGCCGTATGCTTGACGCTGTCAGAGATTTCTGCGCAGAGGTTTTGTGAGAGTTTGGAGAGATGGAAAGCATCTTGTCCACTTACACTGCTTGAGCGCGATGTGTACCGGTATGTCGGCCAAAGAGTTCAGAGGATGAATTATTAGAAGCCCGCTGTGGAGATGGAGATTCGTAGAAAATGTTCCTACACAAGCCCATCCAGTTTTGATGTCACTCATTCTATGTGTGTGTGTGTGTGTGTATGTGAGAGAGAGAGAGAGAGAGAGAGAGAGAGAGGGGGGGGGGGGGGTGAGGGATGTTTGAGCCCCATATAATTCACAATTTCGGGCCTTATCCGGGCCATTGCCACAATGCTCAGGCAGGAAGGTTGATAAACACGCACGACCAAGCTGGCTTGGCAAATCTGAAAGTAACGTGGTAACAAACCATCTCTTCCCAGCCTCCATTTTCGTCGTACCTATCTGATGAACCCCAGAAGCCCTGAGCCCCTGTTTATCGGGGTAGGGGGGTCGGCCTATCGCGCGGGGTAAACAGCATCGGCGCGGCGGACAGCAAAGCGGCCGTGCTCTTAATTAGAGACTCCCGTCGTTATCCCGACCAATTCCATCTCTGCTCTCTCACGCCATCGTCACTCATTCATTGCACCGAGCTGCCAAGCAACTCAGGGCGCCAACTCCCTCCCTCCCTTTCCTTCTTTCAGCAACCTTTTTGGTGTCACCTCCGGAACCGCTACCCACCATGCCGGGTCTCGTCCCCTGCTTCGTCCCACTCCTCGTCCCACTCCTCGTCCCCCTTCTCGCCGGGCACGTCGTTCTCGCGCAGTCTTCTCCGGGGCTCCCCATGGTTATCAACACGTGGGGAGGCGCGTTTACCGCTGCGACTGACGCAGCATATCGGGCTCTGGTCATGAAAGGCGCCTCGGCCCTCGACGCCGTCGAGATCGGCTGCGCAACCTGTGAGGCCAACCAGTGCGACGGCAGCGTTGGCTTCGGCGGTTCGCCCGACGAACATTGCGAGACCACCCTCGACGCCATGATTATGGACGGCGTGACGATGAAGTCGGGTTCCGTCGCGGCGCTCCGCCGCGTCAAGAACGCGATCGGTGTAGCCCGGCACGTTCTGGAGTACACCTCGCACACCATGCTGGCTGGCGACCTGGCAACAGAGTTCGCCATTGAAAACGGTTTCCCAGTGGAGAACCTTACAACAGAGGCTTCGGCTGCGAGGTGTGCTGAGTGGCGGCGCAACAACTGCCAGTCCAACTACAGGCAAAACGTCACGCCCAACCCAAAATCAGCCTGTGGTCCGTACACGCACATCAAGCTTGACTCGAGATCTCCAGACTACTTTAACCTTATCGCTCCGAATTCCGCCCAGGCATCTCATGACACCATTTCAATGATGGCATTGGACGCAAATGGTATTATGGCGGCAGGCACCTCGACCAACGGTGCTTCGTTCAAAGTCCCTGGGCGTGTCGGCGACGGCCCGATTACCGGGTCCGGTTCTTATGTCGACGGGGATGTCGGTGCCTGCGGCGCCACCGGCGACGGCGACATCATGATGCGGTTTCTACCCTGCTACCAGGCTGTGGAGAGTATGAGACAAGGCATGAGCCCGCAAGAGGCTGCGAGGGACGCTGTGGTGCGCATGGTGAAGAAATACCCAGCAGTGTCGAGTGGCATTGTGGTTGTCAATAACAAGGGGGAACACGGAGGTGCGGGATCTGGATGGACCTTCACGTATGCCTTCAGGGGCGGCAAGATGAACGCGACCGAAGTCGTGACTGTGCCACCTGTATACGTCAACCTTTCGCTGAGCAGTCCAGAATTAAGATAATCAGATGCGTCCCGCATCGTCAGTGATTGGAAAGATAAGATCCGACCTTACTCTTTCCTAGTCCCGTCATTTCGCGCTTACCATGCCAAGTTATGTTCCGGCAAAGCTTGCCCGGATCGGAACACCCTTGGATTGGTTAATAAGACACAAGGACCCGAAGACGTGAAAGCAAGGTTGTCTATCACCGTTGTGGGGTTTCAGCACAACATCGCTTGGCCACGCCGTTGAGGACTCCAAACAGCAATCAGGACAAGTGATTCACCTTCGGGATTTGGTTTTTAGTCTTGTGCTACCGATATCGTATCTGCTTACCTCCGCCGTAGTCCCCCTTTTACATCTGATCTCGACGATCTCAAGTTCCTCGAGCGCACATTTTAATCAGTCGGCCACCTGCCGAGACTCGTTGCGAGGTCAGCTCTTACCTGACATCTTGTTGTACTCTTGTGGAAACAATGCAATGTCGGACAACTTTCCTATTGGGTTCTAGAACGGATGAAAGCTGTGTGTGCGGCACAAACACCAGTCATATACGTGTTGTATAAAGCTGATTGTCTTGCATCTCATTTGTCATTGTCAGATTGTAACTGCAGAACAATTTAGTCATTTGCAAACATGGCCTCTTCTTCTAAAGAATCTGTCCCGAGAGACAAATGGTGGCAATGGAGATGGTTCTCTCCCGAAGATACAAAGGAAGAAAGACGCTTGATCACAAAGATTGATCTCCTCTTGGTACCTTACTCGGTCCTCGGTATGTTTCGGCGTGGGAAAAGCCTGAGTCCTCAAACTGATGCACTATCCATCAAGGGTATTGGGTCAAGCATGCTGATCAATCAAACCTGAACAATGCATACGTTGCCGGGTTGAAGGAAGACCTTGGCTTCTACGGGAACGAACTCGTCCAGCTCCAGACCTTATTCACCCTAAGTTCAGTGCTAGGCCAGATTTTCTTCCTGTAGGACCCAAACTCGGAATCTTACCAGACTTTTACTAACTAAAGATCAAGTTTCATCATGACATATGTCCCCATCCAGTACCTCATTCCGATTTGCGACGTTATGTGGGGTATATTCACGCTGCTCCAATACCGCGTCAATTCCTATGCCGAGTTGGCTGCTTACAGCGGCGTCGACCAACCCAACAAATGGTGCGTCAACGAGAAAGACGTTGAAATCGCTCGCGAGCGCCTAGAAAAGCATGGCCACGTATTACACGGAAAGATGAAATTCGGCCACATCAAACGAACCCTTCTCGGTTTCAGATTATGGCTCGTCATTATAACAAACATCCCCTTCTGGAATGCAGGTATTCATAAGAACACCGGTCTTACCTGCTCTGGACTAAAAGTCTTGGTCGGAACAGCGCGGCGAAGATTAACGAAATGGGAACCATTGCACCTGCGCTGGGAATAGCGTACACGCTAATTGCTTGTTTCTCCTCGGATATCTTTCTCGGCCCAGCGTGGGCAATCACGATTTGCTCGGCTCTTAATGCAATGGGTCTCATCTTCTTGACCATATGGGCAGTCCCTGAAGGTGGGTTATGGTTCGGATTTGCCAGCATGTATTGGTCAAATGCTCTGTCTTCCGTCTTTCACGACTGGGTCAATAACTTGCTGCGGGACAGTTCTGAGGAGCGCAGTTTTACTCTCGTGCTCATCAATCTGCTATCGCAAAGCTCCACTGCCTGGACACCGTTGCTTACATTCCCTACAGTGGAGTCTCCAAGGTATAGGAAAGGCTTTTAATTTTGTCTTGGATGTGCGATTGCATTGATCGTCTTCACCTGGGTCATGTACTATTACTTGAAGCTGGACAAACGTAAAGTCACAGGCTCTGCAGATGAGGAGACGAGCAGTGGAGTAATAACCTCAATGGAGGGCGATGGAAAGGACGACGATCGTGTCATTGAAGTTGAAAAGGCTAGACAGGGCGAGAAGGATAACCAAGCAGACGGCGATGGAATTGTGATGCTTTGATCCGATGAGCGGATCCCTGAACACCAATTCTTGGTCTGTTCACTACAATATTCGGCGGAATCCGGAACCTCAGTTGGACAATGCACAGATACAACATTCCATTTTTATGGAGTCATTGGTTATCTTGAGGGACGGATGGTACATGGAAATCGAAAAACCTTATGATAGGATAGTAATGGTTTATTTAAAGTAGTCAATTGCTAGTGAAGGCTCCATATCCTCACGCTGTCCACTTAAGCTAACATATGATAATACATCATTCCGTTCGTGTAAAGAATTGCTGATTATTGCTGGTTAATATTGGATACTATATAAAGCTACTGATACGCTCAACGCGAGCAATTCGATTCATGACGCCATATCCCACTGTACCGAATCAGTACCCTTGGTTATGCTTTCCCCAATATGCTATCTATCTTTGCTCATGTGTTCTGAGATTGGGCGGTATTCTCGCGCCTAGCTTATGTCAAGCATCTCCTCAGTCGTGTAGTAATCACCTAGATATCGTGCGCTCAGTTGAGGCTTTCCAGATAAGCAGCGTAGTCCCACTTTTTGCCATCTCTCCAGAACCCTTCTATAATAGGTGGTCGAGGCGTCTTTCCCTCCACGGAAACCTCGTTGAGCCAACTCCAGTACGTTGTTGACTTCCAACCCTCAGCTTTCCACTCATTGATGTCCTCATTGGGCTGCTTGTTGAAGACGGGCAGAACATCTAGCAGACTTGCATCGTGAGCAATGCAAACCATGACGTTGTCCTTGACATCTAATTCCCTCATCTTTGACACCGAGTCTATCGCTAGACTGAGGTCCGTGTAGACTGGATGCTTTGCGTGGCGGGGGAGCTGGTACCACGGCGTAGTACGAGCTGAGTTCCCGTCTTCCGCGTTTGGATGATGTGGCGTAAAGTGCGAGCAAGGACAAGGTGCTTTGAAGGACCAGTCCAAGCGTCTCGTAATAGCCGAAGCCGGGATACCTTCTGGAAGCGGAGTGTCTTTGGTTGGGCGAAAGACACCGGTGAAGTGGCAAATATCGCCGCCAAGGAACACGAAAGTTGCTCCGCCGGAAGCCGATGAGGGTTTGGTTCTCGCAAGGGCGCAGATGTGCTCTGGTTGGTGCCCAGGGGCTTCTAGGAGGTAGAGGGAACCGTCGCCAAAAAAGTCTTGGGCTTTGAACTTGCCCACCATGAACCCGCCGCCAAAATCTGCCTCTATCAGTGACCGGCCTTCAAACTCAGAGACTGCCTGAGGATCGTCTGGCCCCCCCGGCCGTCCCTTCGACGAAAAGTATCCCGGGCCTGTGACCAAAGCTGTCGACTTAGGGAAGACAGAAAGATCTCCGCGGTGGTCAAAGTGTGCGTGAGACCAGATGCAGAAATCTCCAATATATGTAAGTAAGGGGTGTTGCTGTTATCTCATGAGCTCTTACCGATACTCTCGGGTTCAACGCCTCCATCTTGCAGGATCTCGTCGATTCCCTTTTCAACCCTGATCCCGAATATCACGCTTTCGGGACCCAAGACCCCTTGCTGAGCTGCTTTCGGCAGGTTCCAATAGTCTTTGCGGACACCGAGATCAAACATTGCTTTCTTGCCGAGTTTCTCGTTTTCGAGAAGGAAAGCCAAGGAGCAGAAGTTTATGACTTCGTGGCCTGGCATAACCGGCTGCACAAATGACTCGGCCGTGCCGACCATCGCGGTCGTTGTGTCAATAAGTTTAACACGCACAACGCTGTCTGATTCTGGTATGTTGGTCATTTTTGAGACTTGTCTTCCAGTGCTCTTGAACAAGATGAGATGGTTCCTATTACAGGATAGAAGAAAGAGGGATTGTTTCATTTTGTGTGAGCTAGGAGGGGTACAACGTCATCACTGGGAAAACCATGTCCGAAAGGTGGCACGGCCATGCATAAGACATATGCGGGCCAAGCCACAAGCCAACCCTCTACGACAAACAGCAGCTCAGCCACTGGAAGGAAGGAAAGTTTATTTGTTGATGCTGTAATGCTAAATGGGGTCGAGCACTTCAAGCCCATCTAGAAACACCCGCGCGCCCGCCAAATGCTCTAGTTAAGCAGGATATCATACCCGTCTCCTTCAATACGAACCTCTTCGCTACCCAGGCCATACTTACGTCGAACCAATTCAAAAATGATCAATCCAGCACTTGTGCTGGGAACCTGCCTGATCGTGTTCCACCAGAAGCCACGCCAAAGCCATTTCCTTACACTCAGTCCTTCCTTTGCAGCCTCGGCACAACATTCCGACCACGTCTCCTTGTATGCTCGGTAGTAGGCCCTAAACATCCTCCATTCATCTCTTCGCTGGCCTGGGTTCGCCCCACGGAATTCTCTAAGCTTGGCCGCCTTGGCGTCTAATTCTTCTAGGCGATCCCAATGTTCAACTTGCACGTGTGTCAACGGATGGAGAACAATCTGCTGGGCAAACGAAGCGCTAAGGCCACCAAGCAGCAGAAACAACGGCTCGATGGCGTAGTGAGGCCGGATGATCAGTGGCTGCTTATCGTCCTCGTCGGATGTGTCTTTCTTAGGTGGTCGCTTCCTGGCTAAAAAGTCGACGATGTGCTCTTCCAGTCCACCGTAGTACCAGGAGACAAAGCGGTGGTATCCTTGAGCCTTCACATACTCAAAGACACTGAAAAATATCGCTGCACCAAAGCTATCCTTCATAAGGGACAGGCCCCAGCCAGCAAATATGCCGCGCATGCCTATCTCTCGTAGTTTCTCGGCGCTGAAAGCCCACATGCTTCTCGGTTTCCCACCCTCGGCAGTAATAAGATCGCGATGGTCATATCTGGCTTGGATTGCGTCCAAGGGTGCTGCTATGAAACTTTGGAGACTTCCGGCGAGGAGCCCGGCGGTGAAGGTCTGCGTCGGATGTGGCGGTGGGTAGACGGTCTTTCTCGACTTTCCACTTTCCTCATGCAAGTTGCCGAGGATTGTGAGGTAGCTGGTGTACAGTACAGCACCAACACCCACATTTGCAATAAGCGGCGGAAGAACTTGGTTAGGCAGAACGCTCCAGCCATGATGCTTCACGGCGGAGGTGAGCACGCCGGGGGTAGTGCCCCGCAGATAGAACCATGCCTGGTGGAGGGTCGCCCTCAACCTAGATGATGGCTCTCTTGCAGCAGCCTGTGCGAGTGCGTCGATCTGGGCCTGATGCACACTGCGTGCGTAGGCGAGGTAGTCGACACGGGTCCGGAAGAATGCTTTTACCGGGGCTCGGAAGTAGAATGCGATGGCCTGGGCGCTCAAGGCACGCACTCCGGCGGCAGAGGCAGCTGTTGCGGCGTTGCTGCGCGGGTTCTTGTCCGGCAGCTCTGTGCCAGGCGGAAGAACGGGAAGTACGCCGGTGTACGGATCGTAATCTGCAGTGTCGTCATCACGACGTCGCGTCATTGTTTATTGCTGCTCATCGTCCCCCACAGGTGAAGCTGTCTTGGGTAAGGTTTAAATGGGCAAAACTTGGCGTCGGTTGAGGTCGGCTCACCGGTCTTACATGTGCTGACTAAGCACGTGACGTCGACTCTCTCTCTCTGTGGACAAGGAAAGCTACCGGTATGCCGGTTGTTACGGCAGCCTGCAGGGCGCACTGGTCCAAAAGTCAACTTGGGTTGCTACACCTACCCCTTTGCAAAGCTCTTAGGACTTTACTTTGATTGGCTCGCTTAAAGTGCACGGGCTAGTGGCAAAGTCTAAATTTTTTCCTTAAAGAGAATATAATTCTAAGTATAAATAATAGATAAATATAAGTATTAAGAAATAATAAATATAGTGTATACTCTTAATAGTAGGCAGGCGCTGGTAATAGTAGTGCACGCTGGCAATAGTGGGCAGGCGCTGGCAATAGTGGGCAGGCGCTGGCAATAGTAGTGCACACTGGCAATAGTGGGCAGGCGCTAGCAATAGTGGGCAGGCGCTGGCAATAGTGGTGCACGCTAGCAATAGTGGGCAGGCGCTGGCAACAGTGGGTAGGCGCTGGCAATAGTGGTGCACGCTGGCAATAGTGGGCAGGCGCTAGCAATAGTGGTGCACGCTAGCAATAGTAGGCAGGCGCTGGCAACAGTGGGCAGGCGTTGGCCTACGGAAATAAGCCGGAAGTTATAAAAGACCAGGATCAGGGCTAAGCCTTTTATGGGCCTATGGGGTATAGTGAGGTTATATAAGCATTATATCTAAACCAATCAGACCTTATTAATAGAGATTATAAGTGGGCCTAAATACACACCATACCGTATCTATATTATCTTTTTGTCCTAAAGAGGGAATTTCTGACTTTTGGACCAGTGCGCCCTGCAGGCTGCCGTAGGTTGTCTCCACAATTCAGCGATAACTGTACCTCCCTCCATGGGCTTGTTTTCTGTACTCATGATCTTCTTCATGCCTATTCCTGGCAGTCGTCGTGCAACTTCAGCGCCCCAGAAACACCATCTAATGTTGCAAATTGTATTCTCCGTTTTTTCTGCTGCTTTTTTATCCTTTTGTTTTCTCTCTATAGAGCTGAGCTATGAATGGTGAGGCTTCCAGCCTTGGGCACGGCGACTCGTCAAGCAAGAGACAATTACCTTGCTTTACTCTTCATACAATTTACTGCAGAGATACATCGCTTTGTCAAGACTTAGATTACAGAAAATTTCAATTTCACTTTGTTGCCGCATCACGATAAAGAACCTATCACAATTGTATCGCCATGCCGTCCAACACCTAACCAACAATGCTCATGGCTGGCTCTAACTAGGTGCATGAATCTTACTAATCCCCGAGAGGCTGAGAAAAGCTTCAGCTTAAAAGTACAGTATGTAAAGAATAGTCTGTTTCGCGTAGAAAAGTGGAAATCTACTTATCTAGCTCCTCTACTTGTGGGTTTTGTTATTATTGTGAAAGTGAATCAAGAAAGTGGAATGAGTGATCCAATGTGTTTTCGTATAATAAATAAGATACAAGAAAACGGCGCCTAAGGTAACACCGGAATGCCCACCAAGACACACGGTGCGTCAAAGGCTACCCCGGGGGCTAAATCTGTGGCCGTCTGGTCCTGAAATCCGATGCGGTTAACGTTGCTGCTATCAACTTGATAGTTAGGCCAGCTTTGGTTGCCATTGAACTGAAGGAGACCAGAGGTTGTGTTCTTAGCGAAGGCGGCCCAGGCACCACGGAGGTATCTCCCAACCTCTATTTGCTGCGGCGTGCTTACGATTGGCGACTGTGGCGACGTATCGAATAAGACAGGAAGCTAAAAGACATTAGAATGCTAGGTCTCGATCTTCGTTTTTGAAACAATTAAAACAAAGAAGCGAAGCGTTACTTACCTCCGAGGTGTGCCATGCGCCACTTTGCGGTGTGGTGGTGATGACCAAATTGGAAAAGTTACCAAAGTACCGGTAACGCCATGTTGGGTGGCCGGCGGCAACCGCTCGTGTCGCCCTCCTCGCTGCAGGACATTCGAAGCCAATGAGATTGAACCCAGTCCAAAACGCATCGTCAAGTTCCGGAGCACCAAGCTTAAAGAGGCCAGCCTCGTTGTCATCGTTACCGACGACGTACCCTCCAGTTGCGGAAGTTCGCATGCTGTAGTCAGCGAAAACGAGGGTATCGTCCACGACCGGTGCAAAGAAGGTTCCACCTGGGGTGCCAGTACCGCTCGCGGCCACGCCATTGAGGATTTCTGCCGGGGTCTTGGAAAGCATGCAGTTGTTGACAGCCGTGGGATCGGTCTGGCTGTTGCCACAGCCAACCGCAGAAGTAATGTTGAACCACTTCGCGTTGACGGTTTGGTTGGTAAAGATGCCGAATCCGTTGGCAGTTCCACTCATGGCTATGAACCCATTGGCGATAGGGTCAGAAGCGAACGCGTACGAGTAGTAGTCTACCAGGGAGCCTCCAGCAGACTGGCCAAAGAGGGTGATTCTGTTGACGTCGCCGCCGAAATTTTCGATATTGTCACGAACCCATTGCACACCCATACGAAAATCAAGAAGTCCGAGGTTCGGGGCAGAGTTAGGGTTGCCGGGGAATCCAAAGATGTTGAGACGATAGCTGGTCAGCCCACGTTAGCAGTGTCGATCCCCCTTCTTCGTCGAACAAGGAGACTTACTTCATAGACACCAGGACAACATCATCCTGGTCCGTCATGAACTGTCCGTTGTTTGCTGGGACGCGAGAACTCCCTGTAGATTTAGTCAGTCTACGGTGGCTTATATGGAGTCCAGGTAATGGCATACTTACCTGTTGTGAATGCGCCACCGTGAATCCATACCAATACGGCCTTCTTAGATTCACCCTCCTGTGGCTTAGTCCAGACATTCAGTGTCAGGCAGTCCTCGCTCTGTGAGCCAGTATCGGCAAGCACCGAAAGTACTGATGCGGCAGAATTGGGGACCCCAAGGTTTGCAAAACCATTGGGGACCATAATACTGCTGGCGTTAATGGTCGGCTGCATGCACTGGTGCCCCTGGTTCAGATGCTATTAGCATTTGCATCGCGTCTTATCCACTTTATGAATGCAAGAACTTCCACACCGAGCCCTAAAGGTAGATAAAGTCCAACTTACAAAAGAGGAGCCGTTGATGGTTGAGGATCCAGTGAACTTCACGGGAGGCTGGAAGCGCAGCGCACCTATAGGCGGTTGAGCATAAGGAATGCCCAAGTACTCAGATACCTGATTGATGTTCTCGTCAGTGTAGATTCGGTTCGCAGGTAGTCAGATTCTAACTTGAACTGCGCCGCTTGCAGCGTGCCCCTGAACGAGTCCGCTGGTAGTTTGAACTGGCTGGCCGACGGTCCAAGCAAGAGGGGTGGCAGCGATAAAGCTTGGCGTAGAAGCCACGATCCCCAGGACATTGATGATGGTGTTTTGTGCCCTCATGGTGAAGCTCACGGGAGGCCAGTTAGACCAAGAGACTGAGAACCTGGGGCAGATTTGGAAAAGAGGGGAACCGGAAGAAGGGTCGGGGGCCCTGCAGACTATCTGGTGGGTAGTAGGGCGGGTTTTGAGGCAGACAGTCACAGTCTTGGGCTCAAAGGAGGTCTGACGCTCACTCTATGTCTACTGAAACGTGGAATTAGGGAGAATATACTGCAATGTAGTGGGGCTTAGGTCGCAAGACCGAGCGTTGGATGAGTCGCTTTTCCTGCAGGCTAGATAGGACTGGCATTTCTGCCGCAGGTAGTACTGTACTTTCAGAATAAGATGCACCTAATACAGATATAGAAACGATGCAATACGACTATTACCACGGACCACTCATGCATGTTCTTGACTGGAGGCGAAATATATCAAGATACACGGTGAAGTGTCAAGACAACCCCCCCCCTCCCCAAACAATTCTAATCTTCCATTATGTCCAACTGATGGAGGAGTTGCGAGAATTCTTGATTCTGACGCGGATCACCGTGACTTCTAGACACTCTGGACGAAGGAGTAGGTCGCTTTAGATTTTGTAGACAAAATAGTCTGAGCTCGTGACGTCTGGACTAATTACGGTATAGTCTAGTGATCATGGTTGAGCGGGTGTCGCCTCCGGGTGCTGCAGAACCCGTCAGCCACGGAAGAGCGCCCGGCTTATGGTTGAGCTCGGACAGTAGATGCAGGGGCAATGGTTATCAGGATTCTAGCTGGCGTCGGGGCTTGCCGCGTTTCGTCCGAGCTATGAGCTTGTGCCTCTTGCACTCCTGTGTGCCTAGTAACATTGATTACCCTGTTCAGGTCGCCTACGGAGTGGCTTGTAGGCGCAACGGCAGTCAAGTGACGATCGATGAAAGGCCGTCGCGCCGAATCGGCCATTTCTCCGGGTTCTTCCCATAACGGTTGGAGCCGTAGCATCAACATCGCACGACAAGACGTTGCCGCCAGAGCGATAGTCGAATCGGCCCCTTGTATAACAACGATCAGATATGGGATGTGCAGTGGAAGCATTAAAGGTTACGACTTCTGATGAACTTGAGAGCCCCTGTGCACTTTTGAGATGCATGGAGGGTCTCGTTTCTCCTCATTTTGCTCTCTGGCCCCCGCTTGGCTGACCAGCTCACTTTCCTGGCGGCCTCTGCCAAGATGAAGGGTATGTGCACAAGCCCTGAATGGATGAGATGGGTCTGGCGAACGAAACGAGCCACTGTGAATCTTATATGCTAAGACACCTGCAAAATGCTTTACGTTATGAACCATTTAGAAGACAGCGATGATAATGACTAACCAGTTACAGACATTTATTTTTACGGCGCCTTAAAGTGAATACCCTTGGCGAGAACGGGGATCTTGATCCTTCGGTGCACTTTAAACGTTGGCCTATCATCGGGATGTCAATTCAGCTCAGACTAGACGACTGGGCCAGGGAAAATGCTTTACCAGGCGCTGTGCTCACATGGCACTGCTTCAAGTGGACGTTTATTTCCTTTCGTAGCTGTCTTCCGTTTGAGTCCGAGGGAGCCAGCCCCGATGATACGGTTTTCTGATTGGCTATATCTCGACATCTACGTTGCTTTGCGCAGACAAGGCAATGGGAGCTTGGCCGTATCATGGCAAGGAGTATAACCCAGTCCGAACCGAGTCCATGGACTACGACGTGTGAGTTCGTGATTTCTTTTCCAGCGGTAGGCGAAATAATTCAGGATGCGAGGTCTTGGCCCCGTGCGACACGTTCGGCTTCAGCTTCGCACCGACTTCGGCGACAATGACTCGTTGGAGCCGAAGGGAGTGCGGATACGGACATGATGAGCCGTGTTTTGGAAAGCCTCAGCAGTCTTCCCGAAAGACGGTCTCGTCTCGCCTTCACCTCGGTACCACCTCAATTCGGCCCGTTCGTGCTATGGAAATCCATCAGAGGGATTCGACTCCTCGAGAATGGTTCGGCTTGGTCGCACAGTGGCGATATGTGAGAAATCGATCTCGGCGTCTCGGCTGGCATCTCGTGCGACGCATGAGCCGATGCTGGGAAACGAGTCCCGCAAGACGCGCAGTCCCGTGATTCAACGGTTGGCCGCACCTGTGCAACGCAACCTCGGTGGCCATCGATTGCATTCCCAGTTTCGCGAGGGTGCAATTGGTCAATGGTGGAAAGCTAGCTTCCAACAGAATAAATATTAGTATGGTACTCCGTACCAGGCCGAAATAAAATACCCCTGTTAGGTATCTTACTCTAACACTCACCACCCTACTTATTTCAGTAGCGGGCATTACAGTACTGTTTACTAGCCTAGCCAGCTAGACTGTGTGTCGATATTACATAACTGGGGTATTTTATTTCCCCCTGCCACCCTGTACAACGTAGCGGAATCCGGGACCAGGACGGATCTCCCGCCCGGGATCAGATGTCCGTCCCATATGAAGATTTACCACCTGCGGGAACGGAGCTGGGGCAGTGTGGGGGTTGGTTGTCTTTTACTCTTTTCCTCAACGGACTCGAGCCGAGCGAGAATGGCTCCTAGCCAACGCACCCCCCTTCTAGTGCCCAGTCTAACGAGATACGCTTTCCGCCGTCTTACGCATACCCGCCCGCTATTGCGTGATTGGCTTTTCCCCAGAGTTTTCTCCTCTTTGTTATCTCCCGAGGCCAGGAGTAAAACCGTTTGCAAGCGAGCCTAGAGACCGATAGCAGCACGTATGGCGGCAGGACGAGGGACGCCGGCGCTGCTGTTCGGGGTTGGTCAGAGTCACGAGCCCGGGGGAAACTGACTTGCCAGCACGCAAAATGACGGAAATGTGACCGCCGGAACAAGCGGTGGACGGTGCCATCCATGGTGGCTGAGGAGCTTAGGGTGGACCATGGATTTCCTACCTTATCCTCTGCATGCTGAAAGGATCCTATGGGGAAAGAGAAGCCACCGAAGACCCTTTAGGTCCCCCCCCTGGCCAGGGTCTTCGCGAAACAAAAGGCGAAGTCCCGTTTCCTGCATACGTACTGACTCCTCCCTCTTTTTTTTCTCCTCTTCTCAACTTCCTCCATCACCCAGCACTCGACTCGTGATAGAACATTTTGTACATATCCCACATGTCATCGAGCTCGGTTTCTTTTTGATTGGCCAAAAAGCTGCGTGTGTGGAAGAATCAGGAGGGCGCCTCGTTGAAGTTCGTCCCGTCTCGCTCCTAGCCGCTTTCTATTCAACTGAAGCAAAGCTCACCTGGTCGACAAAAGTCTTGCATTTAACTCTTTCTACACAAACTCTTTCTTCGATTACGACAAACACCCCAGAGATCACGGCGACTTGTCCGCGAGCAGACTCCCCCGCCTGGCAAGCATTGTTTCACTTGCTGCCGTGAAAAACCACCCTCCCCTACCCCAAAGCCGAGTATCTCTCTTCTCTGCCCAATTCTTATCCAATAATGGTGCCGTGGGCAAGGTCCAAACCGTCGCCATCCCCCGACGGCCAGCGTGCCCGGGGGGACGAGCGCACGCCTCTCCTCCAGGTCGATGAACCTTCGACTCCTCTCCCCATCACCCCGCAGGACGACAACACCATCTCGCCCAATGAGTTTGACTTCCTCCTCTCGCGGTCCCTCCCCACCTCCGGCCCCTTCCTGGAGCCAGAGTCGACCGTGAACCCCCTCCTCCGGGGTCCACGGCGCTACAGCACCTCCTCCAAGACCCGCCGGTCCTCTCTCGCCAGCCGCACCGACCGTGAGGCCGGCGCCGCCGCCGGCGTTGACTCCGACTCCGACCGGGACTCGGACGCCGTCTCTATAAGTGGCAGCAGCACCACCGCGTCCACCCCCTACCTAAACGGCATCTCCCCCTCGCGCTTTTGGTTCATCTTCGCCGAGATCCTGCTGACCTACTTCATCGCCTGCTTCGACGGCACCATCATGGCCTCCTCGCATCCCGTCATCACCTCCTACTTCCACGCCTCCAATAGCGCCTCATGGCTGTCCACCGCCTTCCTGCTCACCTCGTCCGCCTTTCAACCGCTGCTGGGCCGCCTTTCCGACAGCATCGGCCGCAAGCCGCCCTACGTCGCCACCATGGTCATCTTCACCGTCGCCACCTTGTGGTGCGCCCTCGCGCAAAGTATGACGAGCTTCATCCTCGCCAGGGCCCTGTGCGGGCTCGGCGCGGGCGGCATGATGACGCTGGGGAGCATCATCATTAGTGACCTGGTCCCGATCGAGTGAGTTTGTCCCTCGTTCTTGTCGCTTTGCATGTCGAGTGAGACGGGGCCGCCTTTTGTCGCGAACTTGTTTTAGGCGACAGGTGCATCAAATCGAGGCTGACCGCGAGGTAGAAACCGCGGCGCGTACCAGTCCTACGTTAACATGATCTACGGCGTCGGCTCCGCCCTCGGGGCGGCCCTGGGCGGCGCCATGGCCGACCACCTAGGCTGGCGCAGTGTGTTTGGCATACAAATCCCCCCCCTGATCATCTGCTGCGTTATCGCCGTCATCGCCGTTCCCAGCGACCTGGGGCTCGCGGGGAAGCGGGAGACCTTTGTCGAGGCCCTCAGAGCCTTCGACTTCAAAGGCTCGATCCTCCTGACAACGTCCATCACCTTTTTCGTTCTCGGCCTTGTAAGTCTTCTTTTCCTCGCTGAGCAGCGGCCCCCGAGACCTAACACATTCTGCCTTCCTCGATATAGAACTTGGGAGGAAACATCCTGCCGTGTAAGTCAAATCATGGCGCGGTCCGTCTTGACTCCCAGGATCGATAGCTAACTATGTAACAGGGTCCCACCCCCTCGTGATCGCCTCGCTCGTCATCTTCAGCATCTGCTTCCCTGTGTTCCTCTACGTCGAGTCATACGTCAGCCGCCCGATCATGCCTCTCCACCTAGTCCGCCGCTCACCGCGCATGAACCTGATCTTCTCCAATTTCTTCGCGGCTCTCCTTAGTAACGCCATCCTCTTCAACATGTAAGTCCCGCGGCCTGCTCCCCCCAACCCCGTTCTAACACGCGTCAGCCCCCTCTTCTTCCAGGCTGTCCTCCTGACGACGGCAACCGCCTCCGGCCTGCGTCTCGTCCTCCCGTCGCTCGTCTCCTCCGGCGTCGGCACCGCAACGGGCTTCCTCATAACTTATACCCGCCGCCTCAAGTGGCCCCCGGTCTCCGGTGCCGTCTGCCTCTTCGTCGGCACCCTTATCCTCTCCCACCTCCGCCGCGGCTGGCCTTCGTGGGTTTACCTTTTCTGCCTTGTGCCCTCCTCCATCGGCCAAGGATTTCAGTTCCCAGGCTCCTTCATGGCCGTCCTGGCGGCGAGCGACCAGCGGGAGCAGGCCGTCGTCACGAGCACCCTCATCCTCTGGCGCTCGCTTGGCATGGTGCTTGGTGTCGCCAGTAGCAGTCTCGTCGTACAGAACGCCCTGTTGGGGTACCTCGACAAGTACGTCCAGGGGCCCGAGAAGGACGAGGTGATCCGCAAGGTAAGGGAGAGCGTCGAGTCGATCGTCAAGTTGCCCGAGCTGTACCGCGAGCAGGTTGTTATGAGCTACGAGGCCGCGCTACGGATGACGTTCTTGTGCTGCACAGTGATAGCCTTCCTGTCGGTCTGCCTGCTGGTTCCCATCAAGTTGCCCAGACTTGGCACTAGGAAGTAGAGGGGCGGGTGCGGTATGGAGTACTGTTGACATAACGCGAAAAACCGATTGTTCCTTGTGGTATTTAGCATCTGGCGGCGGGGCGTTCTGGAAGCACATCATACAGCTTTCAATTTGCCTGGTCCAGGCCGTAGCCTCTTCCTACCTTTCATCGTCCCATAGTAATACAAATTTTCAGTCGCGCCCGTTGACGCTGTTAGCTCGCAGGGCGTCCAGCTCATCCCTCGTCTTGCGATACAGTTCTTGCGCCTCACGTTCCCTCCTACTGATGTATCCGACTTCATCTCTCAATGCGCCCAGACGTCGTTGGATCGCAACCTCTTCCGAGATAGCAAGCGTCTTGAAACCGCTCAGAGCGTTGTTCGCCTTCTCAAGCGCCTCGGCGGCCTCGCCAATCTTGTCTCTCAACATCTTCTGTCGCTTCTGATATCCACCCAAATACACGCCCAAGGTCTTCTCAAGCTTGATGCCTTCCTCTGCGGTGGTGGCGATTAAGTCCTGTATAGACTGTGATGATGTTAGTAACTAGAATGCGAAAAGTCCGGGGGGGGAGGGTGAAACACATACATCGAAGGCTTCTTTCATGGCTGCCTCCTCCTCCTCTTCGTCGTCGCCGTAACATCCCAGACCGAGGAGCAGAGAATCCTTGCCACGACCCTCAAACGATGCCTGAATCTCAGCAAAAGAGGGCTTCGGCCTTGTCTCTGACAAAATCTGGAGACGCGCCTCGGCAAGCTCATCATCGGCGATGGTGTCCAAGCGAGGAGGGACCCCACTGACTTTTGAGCCGGGCAAGGGGTACTTGATCGCATCGTGGGCGACCAGGGCAGCAGCTTCTCTAGCAA